AGAATAAAGTAGAGTAAGAATTTAGGATTAGCGCTATCTTTTGATTGTAGAAAGATGTAAGAAAGATGTTTTGGATATTTAAAAGATGACGTTGAAAGTCAATTTTTCTATTATTTATAATCCATATCCACATGATGCATTTATAATCATAGTGTTTCTTACACAATTTAATATCATAATCTAAATATGTATACAAAATTAAATAACTCAAAAAATATAGAATAAAAATTTTGTGCTTATTATACATTTCATAATTTTAGAAATTGAAACGAAAATATTATTTATTATTATCTTGATAAACTTTTTTTTATATCTTATTTATGGTTTTTATAATAAAATGAAGTTTTAAAATTTTAAATTCGTTTTCATTATTAAATGTCATTCAATTGTTTTTTTTATACTGAATTGATAATGAAAGAAAATGGTATTGAAAAGGGAATTAACTATCAAATTTCTAAAATCTAAAAAAGCATTTTATATTAGATTTATTTTATATTCGTGCATGATATTATATTTGATAATTTTAGATCACCGATTGGATATTATAATATATCGCTTAAATTATAATATGTTAAAAAATATAAAGAACACTTTTTCGAAATATTTCAGAATATATGATACAAAATAGCATAAAATGTCATATATATTCTGTTTCTTATCTGGGATTATATATATGGATTTATAATTTATGCTATATCACCTATATTCTACACATATAAAATCTGTGAGTATAGTCAGTTTCTATATATCATCTCTAGTAAAACATGAGATGGTAGTATGAGAATTCTTTATAGTGTGGGTAATATGAAATAACCAATAGTCTGGTTGTGGCAGTGGCAGTTCATAATTTTACGCGTCATATATGGGCAGATGAAGAATTGTATTCATTGCAATAAAGTTATTATATTAAACATTGTGTATTATTATAAATTAATATATACATTGTGATAATTAAATAGATTTTTTTTCATTACAAATCGGTCTATTAAATATAATGTAGTAATAAAATTTTTATGTCATTAGTGTTTTCACAGAAATATGGTTATATTTAGTATATGACGACTTCAGTGTTTTGGAGCACGGAACAGTGCCACTCCCTTATAATATTTATACAATATTTTTATTATATCTGATAATTGGAAAAATGGAAGATATTTTTCAATGGTGTCGTGAAGGCAATGCTATGCAAGTGCGTGTTTGGTTGGATGACACTGAACATGATATGAATCAAGGGTAAATAAAAGAAATTTAAAAAAAATGCTATTTTTTGTTTTTTTTTATTTTGTTTTGAGATCAAATTTAAAAACATTGTCTTTTTATTTTACTCTTACTTACTTACTATTTAAATTGTTTTTTAACTTTTATTTGTTTAATTAATTGTATAGAATAAGTAGTAATTTCATTCATTATTTATATATAGAGATGATCATGGATTTAGTCCACTCCATTGGTGTTGCAAAGAAGGACACTTAAAATTGGCAGAATTATTAGTTAGCAGAGGAGCACGTATTAATGCCACTAACAGAGGAGATGATACTCCTCTTCATCTTGCTTCTGCTCATGGACACAAAGAAATAGTTCAATTGGTAAAATATATTTAATGCATAAAATGAAATGAAAAAAGATTTTTAAAAATTTATTTTTAAGAATTTAATGAAATTTATATTTATAGTTGCTTAGGAATCGTGCAGATGTCAATGTTACAAATGAACATGGCAACACTGCTCTTCATTATGCATGTTTTTGGGGTGATCAAGCAGTTGCTGAAGAATTAGTAGCTGCTGGTGCTCTTGTATCTATTGCAAATAAAGATGGAGATACTCCTTTAGATAAAGCACGAGGTCACTTAGCCAAAAGATTACATGGTAAAAATATTAATATTTAAATTTTAAAAAATAATTATTTTTTTTAAATTATAAATTTTGGAAAAAATTAAATTAAAATATATGATTAATTAAAATTTAAAAAGTATGATTAGTATTTAATTTTAGGAAACTATTAGTCTCAATGAACTTGATTAATTTCACAAATGTGAAATTAATTATTACTTATACAGGATCTCCTATAATATAATAATTAACATTGATTGATTCTATATGAGAAAATAAGTCAAAAATGTAAAATAAAAAAATAAAATTTTTTTATTTGAAATTTTGTTTTCGAGATCAAATTTAAAAAATTTTCAAATATAAGTAAAATTATTTTAGACATTCAGATTATTTTTTTACATAAAATCAGTCCATTTTCTTACAAGATATTCTGTATATTTGTGATTAATAAATTATTATATTATTGATTATTTAGATTTAGCTGTAGAATATGGACAAGATTTAAAGAAGATTCAATTTAAAGATCAAAGCTGGCTAGGTCTAAAAACTAGAAGTCGTAAGTAATGATTACATTATCTTATATATTACATTATCTTACTTATTACATTAAATCAGAAAATAAATCAGAAAATAAGGTAGTTAATAATCTATAATAATGAATTTATTAATCTATAATAATAACATTTATTCATATTATTTAGGTGATGCTACATTATCACGACACAAAGGAATAAACATGGCAGATCTATCACTACATACTCGATTAGCTAGTACACCAAGCGGTGAAACATGGCGTGGACGTTGGCAAAATAATGATATTGTAGCAAAAATTTTGAATATACGTGAATGCACGGCTCGAATTTCAAGGGACTTTAATGAAGAATTTCCGAAATTACGAATTTTTTCACATCCCAATGTATTACCTGTACTTGGTTGTGTTAATCAACCACCAAAATTGGCTACAGTTTCACAATATATGGCGCGTGGAAGTTTGCATAGGCTTTTACATGGAGGTACAGGTGTCGTTGTTGATACTGCGCGTGCACTTAGGCTTGCTCTTGATGTTGCAAGAGCTATGGCATTTCTTCATGGGCTTGAAAGACAAAATAGATGCAGATTTCATCTCAATAGTAAACATATAATGGTATATATTTTATTAATGATGATATTTTAATAATGTAAAAATCAAAATAATAAAAATATTGCAGATAGATGAAGATTTAACAGCTCGCGTAAATATGGCGGACTCGAAATTTTCATTCCAAGAGGTAGGTCGAATTTATGAGCCAGCATGGATGTCTCCAGAAGCTTTAAGTAAACGTCCAGCAGATATAAATCTCGAGGCCAGTGATATGTGGAGTTTCGCTGTTTTATTATGGGAACTTGCGACTAGAGAAGTTCCATTCGCAGATCTTTCGCCAATGGAATGTGGCATGAAAGTTGGTTAATTTTTATATATAATTAATTTAAGTTTTTATTTTATTATATAAATTTTTATCAGTATAAATATATTCCTTCTTGTATTTGTTATAGATCGCATTAGAAGATTTACGCGTTAGTATACCTCCAGGAATTTCACCACATCTTGCTAAACTTATTAGGATTTGTATGAATGAAGATCCAGGAAAACGTCCATCTTTTGACATGGTCGTTCCTATACTCGATAAGATGAAACGTTAATTTTTGATACAATTTTTTACATCGTCAAATTATTATAAAAAAAGAAAGAAAAGAATTACATATTTCCAAAGAAACATAATGAGCTTAATCAGATTGCGCTTATAAAACGTCTCGATTATTAGTCTCAATTAATCTGTGTCAGATTGTTTCATTGCTTCAATTAAAATGACTGAAGTATATTTTTTATACAATCGTATTTGAATAAATAATGTGCCTCGAAAAACTTTCATAATATAATATTCATATATTATAAGCAATTGTATTGTTTATTATTTATAAAAACGTCCGTATATGTTTTATAATTATATTCATATTTTTGAAATAAATATTAATTCATTTTTTATATATATATATTACAATAATCAGTTTTATATAATTATTAATTTCATTTACAATACTGTTTATTGAATGTTAATTATATAAGTTTGCATACTTAATATAACAGTTATTTTTTGGATTATTTTATATCAAATATGGCCAGCTTATATTATATTAATATTAAAAATTTATCTAAACAATATTAAATCTTGTAATTTTAAGATATTGTATATTATAAAATTAAAACGTATAAAGTTACAGAATATTTGTTTTATTTAGACTCATTTTATATTTGAAGGATTAAAGATATCAAAAAAATGTTCTTATAATAGGTGAAGAGAAATGGTATAAAAATAAACTTTTTCTATTAATTGGAATTATTTTATTAAAGATTTCAAAGCCACTTTTTTTTTAAGCGATATATATAAAAAAACATATATAAACAATATTAGAAACATAAATAATAAAAAGATATATAAAAAATATTATGAAAAATTGAAGTAATTGTAGCGATAAAATTCTCTAAAATAATAAGTTTATTTTAATAATTTGATGATTTCAATTTCAATCAATATTGATTGTATCAATATAAACCATATCATTTTAAACATCTATTATAAATTCATTATTTGACGAATTTGTATTAAAAATCATTGAAATCGTTTAGATTACTATTATTTTTTACTTAAAATAGAAAAATATAGTATTTAAAAAAAATTGAAATTATTTTCGAGAATTTTTTACTATGGAAAAAAGATCTTTTTCACATTATGATTCTCTTTGTAATATACACAAAGAGATAAAATTTACATGAATATGATGTTTATATAAAGTATATGAAATTTTTTCATAATTCTATGAATTATGAAATAACGAAGATAGAAAATAATCAAATTTAATTAAAATTCACTATTGTCCCACTCTACAATCCCTCTCCCCACTCTATAAGTATATTTCTGTTTTCAATTCTTATATAACATCTGCTATTATTCTTATCTAACATACTAAACAAACTTCATTTTGATATATCTACAAGAACAAATGGGAATATAAGATATCTTATATCTTATATGTGATTAATTATACTGTTTCATTATATGTGTACAATATATCATAATCTTTCAACATTTTTAAATTTTTTCCAAGTGTGAGATTATAATTGATAAAATGCGTAATAAAAAAATATTTTCTATCAAATGTGTAGCTTTTATGCAGAAGACATCGAAGTAGAAGGAACTTGGTTAACAATGAGCAAACAAATAGTAACTGTAAAGCAAGGAAAATTAGGAGGAGCAGTACTTAAAAGTGCATTAGGATCATTGTACATCGCTTTTAGAGGAATACCTTTTGCTGCCCCTCCTATTGGAGACCTCAGATTTAAGGTATATATAATATATTTTAAATATATTTTATATTTTATATTGCTTTACATTGCTAACTAAAGTTTATGATATTTCAAACATTTGTCAAAAATTCGAGAATATATATTTTATTTTATATTAATATATATAATATATACATTATATATTTTTTATATATACAAATTTAATATAATTATATTTTTTATGCATTAATATGTAATGTATATTA